TCCTTTGAAGGATGGTTAGAATGTGACTTGCTGTTGATCTTGTGCTTTTTACAAATTCCAACGCGCGCTCGGCGCGCTGGTCCACAAACCTCAAACTGCCACGAGCGCGCGCCGAGCGCGCGCCGAGCGCGCGCCGAGCGCGCGTTAGAGTTCCCCGAAAAGCAAACAAGCTTACAAGGAAGTCTTCACTAAGGATCATTGCAACAATCCAAACTTGTCGCTCGCTCATGCTTTTTCTACAAACTGTAGCACGCGCTCAGCGCGCTCGGCCAAAACAAACCCTAACGCGCGCTCGGCGCGCTCGACCACAAACCCTAAACCCCAAAAACCCTTAAGCTTGCTTTTGAAAATTTGTTGCATACGCAGAATGTTCCGGAGATCCTATGAAGGTTAGAAATGTGACTTGCTGTTGATCTTGTGCTTTTCACAAATTCCAACGCGCGCTCGGCGCGCTCGTCCACAAACTTCAAACTGCCACGAGCGCGCGCCGAGCGCGCGTTAGAGTTTCACAGAAAAGCAAACAAGCCCAAAAGCAAGTTTTCACTTCAAAGGATCATTGGAACAGTCCAAACTTGTCTCTGCCTCATGTTTTCTTTGCAAACCCTAGCACGCGCTCAGCGCGCTCGGCCAAAACAAACCCTAACGCGCGCTCGGCGCGCTCGACCACAAACCCTAAACCCCAAAAACCCTTAAGCTTGCTTCTGCACATTTTTTCCATAAGCAGAATGTTCCGGAGATACCTTGAAAGTCAGAATGTGACTTGCTTGCTGTTGATCTTGTGCTTTTCACAAATTCCAACGCGCGCTCGGCGCGCTCGTCCACAAACTTCAAACTCCCACGAGGTTTCACGAAAAGCAAACAAGCCCAAAAGCAAGTCTTCACTTCTAAGGATCATTGCAAAAGTCCAAACTTGTCTCTGCCTCATGCTTTTTTTACAAATCTAGCACGCACTCAGCGCGCTCGGCCAAAACAAACCCTGACGCGCGCTCGGCGCTGGACCACAAACCCTACACCAAAAACCCTTAAGCTTGCTTTTGCACATTTTTTGCATACGGAGAATGTTCCGGAGATCCTTTGAAGGTTAGAATGTGACTTGCTGTTGATCTTGCTTTTCACAAATTCCAACGCGCGCTCGGCGCGCTCGTCCACAAACCTCAAACTGCCACGAGCGCGCGCCGAGCGCGCGTTAGAGTTCACAGAAAAGCAAACAAGCCCAAAAGCAAGTCTTCACTTCAAAGGATCATTGGAACAGTCCAAACTTGTCTCTGCCTCATGTTTTCGTTGCAAACCCTAGCACGCGCTCAGCGCGCTCGGCCAAAACAAACCCTAACGCGCGCTCGGCGCGCTCGACCACAAACCCTAAACCCCAAAAACCCTTAAGCTTGCTTCTGCACATTTTTTGCATACGGAGAATGTTCCGGAGATCCTTTGAAGGTTAGAATGTGACTTGCTGTTGATCTTGTGATTCCAACGCGCGCTCGGCGCGCTCTTCCACAAACCTCAAACTGCCACGAGCGCGCGCCGAGCACATTTCCAAGTCAAAATGGACAAAACACTAGAGGAGCGGACCACTTTTGGAAGTTGCGATGTCGAAAAAGTGCACGCCGTTGTGGCGCGAAGCACATTTCGAAGTCAAAATGTACAAAACACCTCAGGTCCGGACCGCTTTTGGAAGTTGCGATGTCGAAAAAGTGCACGCCGTTGTGGCGCGAAGCAGATTTCCAAGTCAAAATGTACAAAACACACCACGTTCGGACTACTTTTGGAAGTTGCGATGTCGAAAAAGTGCACGCCGTTGTGGCGCGAAGCAGATTTCCAAGTCAAAATGTACAAAACACACCACGTTCGGACCACTTTTGGAAGTTGCGATGTTGAAAAAGTGCACGCCGTTGTGGCGCCAAGCACATTTTGAAGTCAAAAGTGTTAAAAACTTACGGTCTCGGACCACTTTTGGAGGTTCAGATGTCGAAAAAGTGTCGAAAAAGTGCACGCCGTTGTGGCGCGAAGCACATTTCGAAGTCAAAAGTGTAAAAAACTGAGGGGTTTGAGCCTTTTTTGACGTGAAGATGTCGAAAAAGTAGACACTGATTAACTTAACTAACTTGACTAACTTAACTAACTTCACTAACTTAACTACCCTAACCTCGACGACAACAGCAACAGCAACAGCAACAACAACAACAACACCAACCACAACAACTACAACTACAACAACAATAGATCGATAGATGGAGAGATAGATAGATAGATAGATAGGATAGATAGGATAGATAGGATAGATAGGATAGATAGGATAGATAGGATAGATAGGATAGATAGGATAGATAGGATAGATAGGATAGATAGGATAGATAGGATAGATAGGATAGATAGGATAGATAGGATGATAGATAGATAGATAGATAGATAGATAGATAGATAGATAGATAGATAGATAGATAGATAGATAGATAGATAGATAGATAGATAGATAGATAGATAGATAGATAGATAGATAGATAGGTAGATAGATAGATAGACAGCTAGACAGATTAGACAGATAGACAGATGAAAGGGAGAGAGAGAGAGATAGAGAGATAGATAGATAGATAGATAGCACAAGGCCCTTGCTGAAAATGTAAAGGGAGGTTTTTAGAGCAGCTCAGATGTGAATTGTGAGATTTGTAGGTCTGTGTATATATATATATACTATGATGCCCCGTGCGCAGTTTTTGTTACATGTACAGCTGTGAGATATGTTCAGATGCAAACACCTGTAAACACCTGCTTTTAAAGAACCATAACCATCAACATCAATTGGGCAGTGTTTAACATCCTCAGCCCTCTATACTGGGTACTTAGTACTGTAGGATTTCCCTAGATTATGATCATCTCTGGATAGGTAGGTATACGGTATACCCCTTTGAATCTTGGATGTGCGTCAAAAAAAAAAAACGATCTATTGTGGATTCGGCCGAAAACAAAAAGTTATAAATATCAATCAGTTGTGGGTCTAGTGCCATAACCATCCATTACCCAGGGTATATCTAGTGCCCTAGGTATCCTAGATGTACCTAGTGAGGCCCGGATGGTTCTTCCCTCCGACTTGGAAGCCAGCTCTTTGTCTGGTGGCACCTTGGAAAGGTGCACCAAGTCGCATCAACATATGGCGAATGGTTTATATAATATATTAGTAAAAATCGTAGTATACATATATGTACATTGCTTGATTTTAATCAATAATGTATATATATATACATATATATTTTATAATTATAGTTATATTGTATTATATAATTAAATGAACCGTAGAATGATACACTGGCCACGACAATGGGGCTCCCCACACCGCACAGCAGCTCCGGTGTTGAACCAGACTCCTTGCTTCAACACGTCTTTGAAAGCGATGATACTCGCTAAACAGTACGTTGAAAGTACTCAAATGGAGAAGATGTTTCAAAAATACAGATATCAGCGTCTTGAAAGCCAGCATGAGAACCATATTCATCCATATTCCAAATATACTCACACATAGACAATCTCACATATCATATTCCACTGAAGGATAGAGCAAAAGACTTTTCTTTACGCCGTCCTAGCGGCTGCTGGTCGAACAAACCAAGGATACTGAGACCTCAGGGATGCTCAGCGATAGCGAAAACCTGGAAATGATGTGACGAAAAGCAGCAAAACTCAACGCATTCGCATCCCCGACTCTCCACATCTGCTCGGATCCAACCTTAGGTCGAAGATTCTGGAACTGATGCAACATGTTTTTGTCAAAATGCTTTGAGCACATCTGTCTGTGTGGGCCACTACACTGGTCTGGCCAGGAAAAAAAAAACGTACTTCTTGGAAGGACGACTTTGAAACTGTCATTGAACCATGGTAAACCATGGTAAACCATGGTAAACCATAAGGTAAACCATGGTAAACCATGGTAAACCATATGGTAAACCATGGTAAACCTTATTTTCAGGCACCCCCATGTTGGTCAAACGGTCAATGGCAATTGCTTTCACTGTTCTATTTACAGCGTGCGTATTGCATAGCCTTGCTTCCAAAATGATCTCCTGAAATCTTAGTGGCCGTCGTTCCCCCCCGTTGATCTTGAGGTGTCTCTAGCAAAACATAATAATGTCTCTAGCAGAACACAAAATGAGGTTTGCAAAAAAACATGCATACTTTTGTGATACCAATGTGTCCACACTGAGGCACCGAACTCTGCAGGCAAGGTCAGACCATGTCAGACCATCGGACCCTTTTCCACTTGATAGAGGGCGCGGCAAGAAAAATGAAATCCAAAATTGAAATTTCAGACGGGTCGTCCCCCCATTGATTTCATTTTTAAACCCGTGCCCATGTTTGTCTGAAACTGCGGTAATTGCCCCTACATCCCCCCGTCAACCACCAAATCTCATGATTTGTTCGATGTTTGGTGGTATCCCCAGCACCAAATCTCCCATTGACCTTCCCATCAATTTTCCCTTTTAACCATGAAGAAATAACTTCTGGTTGGATTCCTCTAAATGATATCAATATATGTCAAAAAATAAGCATAAACCCATTCATCCCTATTAGAATCTTGTGAGGTTGTCTGAAAATAGGCTACCACAAATTTCAGGCGTTATCATCATGTTCTCCATTAAAAGGGTGGTCATACCCTCCCGCAATCAAAACATGGCTATGGAAAATGCCCTACCTAGCTATAATGATGTTCCTTGCCATATTTATAAGTGTAAGATCGGCAGTGCAAACACCAATCTGAGAGCTCAGCGCACGAAGTCCAAGCTCGGCAAGAGTAAGCAGCGCCCCTTTTCAGAGGCTATGGCGTAGCCAGGTCTGACTAGTCAGTACCCACCCTTTGTGGGATTTGTATGGGGCAATTGGGGCCGATATGGCCATATGAAAGAAACATGGTTGGATGTTCCCTGTTGCACGGCGTGCAATTCACACAGGGGAAGAAGCACAGGTTGTAAGTGCCCATCCAAAACCAAAAAGAACGAAAAACTCCTAAGGTCCATCAGCATATGGTCCAGTCAGCGGCCAGGCGTTTGTGCCCTGATCTATGATCCAGGCTTCCAGCTCTCGCAGCAAGGTCGTTCCATGCCTGTCAGGGATATGTGGTGTTGGTGTCCCTGATGAGCACGTAGTGCAAGGTCGAAGCACTGTCACAGGGCTCCCAGGCGTTCCATATCTGGGTGCACCGGCTCTGTATGCCGGCAGGTCGGCACATTGAGGCTGAGAGTGCCAGGTGCCATCCATCTCCCAAATCAGGTCGCCCATGGGGCAAATGTCCGCATGCTCCACCGCCTCAAGCAAGGCTCTCCTGCAGACAGGAATTGCAGCATCACGCTGCACATCTGCATCTTCCAGAATTCGCCGCCGTCGAGCAAATTCTCGATACTGCTCCCGGACTCGCACGTAGGTGTCTTCCATGCCACCCATCACGATGGCTAAGCCTCGGCTCTGTTGAACCTCATGGTAGGCTTCATCCCGAGCAGCTTGAAAACCAGCTTGATACGATTTCTCCATCTTGTGGTTCACGTATTTCTGGACCAAGTAGGCCATGGCAGCCAGGAGCAGCAGGCCCAAAAACATCTTCAAAGAAACGATGTAGGCCAGCAAGCTCAAAAGGTTCGGCAAAATGCCGGTTTGGGACAAAATGTCCGTGGTGTAGGTGCGCATCCCATTGAGGATCGCTTCCGAATTTTCCATCATGTCCTTGGACTTTGAGAAGGCAACGTCCACATAGTCAAGCATGTCGTTGGTGTAGACCATGTAGGCATAGGCCTCCGTTGGCAGGTTCTCATCCACATTCTCATAGGTCTCGGTTGGCATGTTCTCATCTTCAGTCTCATAGGTTTCGTTTGGCATGTTCTCATCCACATTCTCATAGGTCTCACCAGGTTCAGCTTCTTCTTCCATCACATCTTCGTCGATCTTTCGCAGTCTCTTCGGAGGAGGTGCAGCATGAGCATCCATGTTTTGCTGACTCTCGGCAGCAGTCTTTTTCTTCGCAGCCACATAGCTCGGATCCCAGTAGAATCCAACTCTTCCATGACTTTGTAAGTCCATCAGCCCATTGGCGCTCACTGCTGACCCATCTGAGCTCACCTTTAAGCTCCATGACCAACTCCTTGATGACTCTGATCTCGAGGGCAATTCTCCGATCTGTGACACTCGATGTCACCGATTCTCTGTGGTAACTGTCGTAAAGGGCTTTGGCATCAGTCACCAAAACCGGTCGGAGACTGCTCTCCTGACCAAGCAAATCACCAAGCTTGCGGTTGGGGTTCTCCAGGTAGCTGTAGAACTTGCAGATGAAGTCAGTGGCATCTGCGGCTGATGCAGCGGCTTGTGCTTCAGCAGCTAAAGACGATCTCGCCACTCGTGGCAGCTTCAAAGATCTCCATTCCAAAAGGTGGAACCAGTCCTCAGTGTTGGTGAGGGTGTGCTCCGGCACGAGCATGACCATGTATCCACCTTGACTGCTTCCGTCAGGTCGAGCGCTGAACGATGCATCAAACATCGTCACCAGACGCAAGTTTTTGATGTCTCCCAGGGGCATAAACTGGAGCCCCACATCTGCATTCTCCTTGGCGAACTTGAGGGTGCGATTCAGTTCGGTGATGGTGCTCACCTTTCCATTGTTGACCATTCCAGAGGTGATCGAAGTCGAAGCCTGCAAGTGGGGTGCACTCTGCACCGCAGGCCACTGTAGGGCTCCACAGAGTCCTCTCAGTTGAGTGATCTCCTTGGCGGTGAGGTCGGTGTTGGGACCAGCGCCTTTCTGAATGGTCACAGGGTGAACTTTTCCAAGGTAAGCTTCCTGATGAAGTTTCAGACCTCCACCAGGAACTTTCTCCAAAACTGAGCCACAGTACTCCAGGCGTTCTCCATCTTTCCATTCTCGAAAGTTGAAAGATGCCCGAAGTCCTTCAACCAATTTGGCATATGTAGCTGAGGTAGGTGACCCAGCTCCAAGCATGTCATCCACATGCAGGCAGATAGCGCCGCTTAGTCGGCCTTCACCAAAAACGGTGCCATCAGTGCAAGGCTCCTCGGCATAGTCGACCTCAAAAGCCAAAAACAAGCAAGGGTCAAGAGGGTGTTGACGAAGACCAAGTTCTCGGAGTCTCCGTTGGGCTTCAATCCACCACATCCTTGGAGCGTCGAGCTGCCCATACACAGGTTTCAGCAGCAGCATTCTTGTAGTAGGAGGAGCTCCAAGTAGCTGAAGGCAATCAGCTGGTAGTTTTACCCATAACTTCCTCGATTGATAGCCACCCTGCAGGAAGGCTGTCGCTATGTCTGAGGTCCATGCATTCCAGCCCAAAATGGCCGTCAGGCTCAGCAGAAAGTTTCTGGAAGTCCTTGAGGTTGTTGGTGAACTGGTGTCCAGGCCCTTTGACAGAGCATCATAGTCTTGGTAACCCCGCACAATGAGCCTGGCCTTTGCCCTTGGTGACCCATCAGGATTCTTTGACCATTTTGTGAGTACTCTGGCCGTGAGCGTTCTCTCGGCTTGGGCATTGTCCACCGTGTCGAACTCCCAGACCTGGTTGTGAAAGAAGGATTCCAGTTCCTTCCGTTTGGCTTCTTGGAACTTGGCACGGTCGGCAGCACAAAGATGTCGCTCATTGACACCACCCTTGTCGACCTTCTTTTGTTGGCGGGCCATTTTGGTTTTGGCCTCGCGTCCAAGTTTCTTTGCAGGAAGGTTTGCAAACATCCCCATTTCCCGACGAGCTTTGCCAGTGATCTGAAAGATCGTACAGCCAGTCCACTCCTTGTCGATGACCTTGTTGTCAAACTCCTTGTCGCTGATGATCTCAAAACTGCCATCAGCTTTCCAGAGCACAGTTGTGCGAAGTCCATCCAGCAGCTCTGGATCGACCGGAGTGTCCATGTAGTCCTTGAGTTTGAAGAGAGCTCGTCGAGGACGTCGATGATGTCGAATGACACAGCCAGCTTTAACCTCCCAATAGTCCATGGGGTCTTCAGTGAGGTTGAAGACACCCTCATCGTTGCAGTGCCATCCGTCAGGTAGATGTTCTCCTTGAGTCCCAGTGATGTCGAAGGCCTGCACATAGCCTTCAGTTGGACCATCAGCATCTCCAGGTAGATCTCGATCGTAGGGTCGTTGATGTTGATCTCGATGACGTCGAATAGGCCCAAAAATCGCAGCTTCTTGTTGATCAAGTCGTTGGCGTTGAAGTCGAAATCGATCTTCTGGTCCAGCAGGTTCATAGAGCCTCGCCATCGAAGGATCAAGTTGTAGATCGTGTCCAGGAGGTTGATGTGGTTGTGAAGGTGTTGATGAAGGTTGTAGTGAATCAGGTTGCCGTGGTACTGAAGGAGGTTCTTGATGTCCAGGTTGTTGTGGATGTTGAGGTTGTAGTGAATCAGGTTGAAGAGCTCGTGGATCACGTCCAGGTGAGTTGGGCACAGTGCCAGGATGAGGTGGCTCAACGTTGGGCTCCTCCTCATCAGTGTCGATCCTTGGTGTGTTCGGCCCAGCCATCGTAGTTGGAGAGTATGCCAGGCTAGGAGCTCGGCTAGACCTTGACCTTGGTGATGTATCGAGGATCTCAACCTCAGGGGCCGCATGAGGACCGGCAAAGTCCAATGCCGAGGGCTGAGAGTCCAAGCCCGACCGCTCACCGGTCAAATCCAAGACCGGGCGATCATCCCCCGCGTCCTCACTGAGGCGCCTTCTGGTGGTTGGTGGCTCCATTGGAAACCAGTCATCCCCATCATCACCAGGTCCATCGCCATCATCCATGGCTTCCTCATCTTCGTCGATGTCGTCGATGTTGCGACGATTGACCCGAGACAGGTCAAGAAACCTTGTGACCCCCCTTGAGCGAAGTCCATCGACATCACGTCGTGCTGCATCAAGTCCATCAACTCCAGCACTGATGTCCTCGAAGTTGGGTCTCACATGATGTGGGGCAGCTCGGATGAGCTGAGTCTTGAAGGCCAGCCAGTAAAGGCGTGGTCGCCCCTCATCATCGGTTTCCACCATGACGACTCTTGCAGGTCCATGCCATCGAACTTTGACTAAGTCCGCAGCTCTGGCATCTCGCCAAAAATGGCAAGTTTGGCCAACCACCAAGCTGTCGTGTTGGCTCCTGTACTTCCTCAGCATGGCTCTTCGAAGTTTTCGGTCAGTCTCGGCCTTGGTGATTGCCTGTTTGGCAATGGCACGCTTTTGCAGGCTTTCTTCAAAGCTTTGCTTCCCTTGGAGTTGTGCAGGGCCAAGTGAGTCGCCCAGCAAATCACCTGCAAAACGAGGTTGAAATCCATAAAGCCATTGCGCAGGAGAAAAACCACAAACTGTTGGTGATGCATTGAGTTGGGGCACCACGTAGCACAGGGACTGCTTGAGGCCGTCCACACTGACCATCTTTTGATCCTCCATCCAAACTTCAGCAGCTTTGCGCAGGACTGCATGCCTGCGCTCAACCAGGGAGAGTCTGGTGTGTGCCTCTCCAGGTGCAACTTGGTGTTCGATCATTTGATCGCTGGTCCAATCATGAAACCGATCAGCATTCCAGCCTCTGCCTTCATCCGTGACCAAAACCTTGGGACAGCCAAAGTGTCGGATCCAAATCCTTTCCAAGGCTTGTTGAAAATGGTCAGCTCGCTCAGCTGGAATGACCGTTGCAGCTTGGTACTTGGTGGCTTCATCCACAAGGCTCAGCACAGGCACCTTGGTGTCACCGATCTTGAACCAAAGGATGTCGCCTTGAAGTCGTTCGTTGAACTCCTTGGCCTTGGTCATGGCCGATGGAGCCACTCCATCAGGTTTCTTGTATCGAGCACAGGCCACACACTTGTACTCGCGAGCACACTTGATGACCATGTCGCTCGCACCACGACTTTCCAGCATCTCGGTGAGGGCCTCTGGCGAAGGATGGCCAAGTCCACGATGTAGACGTTGGACAACTCGCACAGCCTCTTGGTGATTTTCAGCCATGAGCTTAACCAGGCTTCCCAGCTGCTTCTTCTCATCATCAGCAGCTGCAGCAAACTCCCAAGCAACTGGTAGCTCATCAGCCATCAAGCAAGCTGCAAGGATACCGGCCATGGTCGGCTGGTAGTTCTCCATGTATTTGGTTCTCCGGCCAGTGGCAGGCGAAGAACCTTCCAGACGGCAGTGGTGGTGTGTGCCGTCACAACGTTGTTGAAACTCTCGCCACAGGACCCTTTTGGTGGTTTGGATCGCTGTGGGCTTCTTGACAGGTCGCCAGACCAGGTCCACATCTTCACATTCAGCTCCATACTGGCATTGGTCGAACTGAGCTCGAAAACCAGGCAAGTCATGGAGGGCCTTTGTCTTCCAACTGTGGGCATAGGCGGGTTGTTCAAGGTGACAATGGCCTCCTTGTTGAACTTGCTGCAGGTACACCTTGCGGTTGAACTTGAGGTGTGTGGCATGATGCCACTCTCGGTGTTGAGCCAGTTGTTGTTTCTGTTCATCAGTTCTGGCAGCTATGTTCTGCATGTTGGACCAAGGGCCGCAAGTTGGCGACAGAAAAACTTCATCGGGGCATTCAGCTTTCTGAAGCTCCAGGAACTGTTCTCGATGTTGTGGATCATCGAAATTCCATCCAGTCTCCAAAGAAAAGGTCTTGACGATCCCACCCATGGTTTCAGCGATCTGTGAGAGTCGACCCTTGCCAGAGTACACCTCCCAAATCACTCGGCCTCGATGTCCATGAAGTTCTGAGGTCAAGTAGCTATGGTGGTTGTTGGTCTCCTCCAGAAGCTTGACATCGAAGGTGTTCAGCAAGTGGCGCTGACACTTCAGAGTGCCGGGGATGACAACCTCTGGCTCTTCAGTCGCGGTGAAGATGGTCTCCTCGTTGTTGAACTCGTTGAAAGTCCAGGGCTTGATGTCGATCTCTCCAGGCGTTGCCAGCTGCAGGTCAAACTGAGGCTCCAAGGTGTCGTGGTAGATCTCGAAGTCGGCACAGAGTGGTAGTAGATATTCTCCATGCATGCCCATCAAGGAGGGAACCCACATCCCATCAGCAAATCGAATCTTCTCCGTCGCAAAGTCCAGGGAGATGTTGAGTTGCTGGATGATGGGTCTGCCGCACAGCATTGGAGTCTCACCAGGGACCATGAACACCTGTGCAAATCCAAATCGGCCGTTGACAAACAGCGGCATGCGGACAACCCAGCGTGACATGCTGGCCGCATCGCCTCCAAAGTGGAACTTCCTCTCGCACCTGTAGAAGAGGATCTGCTTGATTGGGAATCCCAGCTGCTCCAAGTGCTTGATGTAGCGAACCATCGGCCCATAGCCACATAGGAAAGCTGAAGCACCAGGATCAAGCAGAGCAACGTCGAGCCTCTCGGTGCCGTTCTTGTCAACGAACGTCACCATGGCATTCTCATCATGTCCATGTCGAGCCATCGACTCAGTTGCAGGCCGTTTTGAACCTTTGGATTTGATGGGGCAGTTCGCCGCAAAGTGTCCAGGTTGACCACATCGCAAGCACTGAAGCATTGCTGCAGCTTTCTGATTTGGTTGAGCCGCCTTCATGGGTGGCTTGTCGTACTTGTAGATGTTGGATTTTCCTTTCTTGCTTTTCCCTTTTCCACCACCTTTGAAAGACTTTCCCTTTGGGGATCCACCTCCTGATGACCTTGTCGGCGATGAAGTCCCGGGCGACAAGTTGCCAGCTGATGGATCTGACAGTGCCACCACCGGCAGGAAGCCGCGCGACAATTTCAAGTCGCTGAATCTCTTTCGAGCATCCAAGTAGGCTGCAAAAGCCTCATCATAGGCCTCCACGTCGAAGGACTCCACCGGCTCAGCTGCAAGTCCATCAGGGTCGTTCTGGTAGTAGCCGAACTCAGCCTCATAGTCACCAGTGTCGTCACACTCATGGTCGTAGACCTCGTCAGTGTTGAAGTCCTCCCCATAGTGCCAGTAGGCATCATCGTAGTCTTCCCAGTCCTCCATGTCATAGTCATCCTCAGCAGCATAGGCGCGTCCACCTTTTCCACGTTGCCATCGTCGGTCAGGATGTCCAAGCGTAGACTGCTTGTAGTCCTGACCCAAGATGAGGTAGAGCGCTTCTGTCACCTTCGTCAGCTCCAAAGTTGGTGCACGTAGGTTCACCAGCTGCTTTTGCTCCCGCGTCAAACCACACTGACGCAGAAGATGCCAGCCCTGCACGGAGGTTGGCAGGGTGACTCCATGCTTCTCCAGCTTCTTGTTCATCTCAGAGTGGCTAGTCACATAGCTGAGAAGGGTTTGTCCTTGTCGTCGTTGTAGTCCAAAGTAGCTGTCGAAGTCAGAAGGCAGCTGGACTCTGGAGTCATACTGGAAGTGGCCGTCCAAGATGGCGATCACTGCTTCGAAGGACTCAGGCTTCTCCGCGCTCTCCAGGTCGAAGTCCTCCAAAAGTCTCCAGGCCGTTCCAGTCAAGCTACCGATGATGTTCAGCAAAGATTCACCAGCTCGCTTTGTGAGGGTCATCTTGCGGTGGTAGATATGAATTCTCTTCCTCCACTCCTTGTAGTCTGCGGGTTGCCCGGTGAAGAGTGGGATGAAACTATCTCTGGTTGAAACGTCAGAGATCGGAGATGAAGATGCCGATGCCATTCTCCAAAAAGTCCAAGGTGATCTGGATGTAGCACGAGCCAGCCGCGGCAATCAAGTCAAGGAAGTAGGGCTCGGCCGTCAGATCCCAACGTAGAGCTCTGCAACCAGGATGCAGTAGGGCTCCACCAGGCCACAGAAAGTGGCTCCGCTACCAATGTAAGATCGGCAGTGCAAACACCAATCTGAGAGCTCAGCGCACGAAGTCCAAGCTCGGCAAGAGTAAGCAGCGCCCCTTTTCAGAGGCTATGGCGTAGCCAGGTCTGACTAGTCAGTACCCACCCTTTGTGGGATTTGTATGGGGCAATTGGGGCCGATATGGCCATATGAAAGAAACATGGTTGGATGTTCCCTGTTGCACGGCGTGCAATTCACAATAAGCAACTTCCCATTGCCGCATTTGAATCCGAGGGTGTCCATTGCCACTGGGGGATTTTCTCATATCTTCCCCAAAATGGCTTTTTCACTGGGGAGATCTTTATGGTTTTTTTTTTCCATGTTTTTTTCCAGGGCTTTGCTTCCAGGACTCTGTAAAGCGTGCCCGGCAGCGCAGGCTGCTGGCTCCCAGGGCGGCCGCACGACCCGCCACCAGCCGCAGCAGTCGTTCTTCCACCAAGGGGCCCTGGATGTGACCAAGGTGTTCTCTGGGATTTTCGCTGATTTTCCATGTTCCGGATTCATTTTCATGGGATGAATTAATCACCAAACTATGATGTTTGGATGGAAGAAATGCTGGTGAAGAATGAGATGAACAACCATTTAACATTGAAAAGTGCGATGAACATCATGAATGGAACTGTTTTTGCTGTTTCAAATATCTTGAATATAGTTGAAGAGCTTCGAATTTTCAGTGCAATCCATGATTAGGTCCAGGCCTTCCTGGTTACAGTGTGGTGCTGTGCCCCTGTAAAAGTCACCTGTTGTTCCGTAGATTGCACTACTTCATCCATACAGAACATGGAAAAGTGGCATAAAGCGACAAGCGCAGCGACAGCTGCGAAGCGCCTCGTCTAAGCAATCATGGCCTGACCCCCATTGGAGAGATGATTTGCAATGATGTGGCTAACTAAATGTCATAAACCTCCAATTTTGGTTGGTTTGAAACATAAAACCAAAAAAAAAATGGCGGTGGTTTAGTATCGAGGCTGCTACACTACTGGAGAAGGTTGAATGTACAAGAGATTGTTTTTGTCGTGGGTCGTTCAAGACATAGTTGGATGAAGTTATATCCATTTTGTAATTCAGGATGAAACCTCCAAACAGCAAACAATAGCTGTTGGAATTCCGTCCAATCTGTTCTATGTACATAGGATATCTGTAGAGTGTGGAACATTCCACCACTCTATTATCTTTGATCCATCATGATCCATCCAAAATTCATCACATCAGATATTCTCCCACCATATCCCCAAATTATGTCCATATCACTTCAAAACTCCCATGATTTCCCATGATTTCCCATGATTTTCCATCTCTTTCAACATGTCGCGCCTAAGCAGAGCTGCACTTCGGCCTTGCCATCGCCATCCGCAGCATCCCAGCACCACACCGCCAGCGCGCTGCCGGCGGAGCTCACCAGCCCCGTGACGTGCGTCAGGCGCTCCGCCGGCGCCACGGCGCGGAACTCCTCGGCGATGAAGTCCGAGGCCTCCACGTGGCGCAGGAAGACCTCCAAGTCCTCCTGCTGGAGCTGGATCTCACCTGGATGGGATGGGATGGGTGATGTAAATTTGGTAAAGCCAGTTGAATCAAAGATCATCAAAGTAACTAAGTGCTAGTTGGGATGTTAACTTGGGTTACATGTTAATACATTCCAGAAATACATGTGAATACATGTCAATACATTCCAGAAATGGGCTCACAGTTATAACAGTTATAACATGTTATAACTCTGGTAAAGGGCCAAAAAACATCAATGGTGGATGGGATATTTTCAAAAATCTGGATGGGATGGGATAGGATGGTGGATGATAGATGAGTGGATGATGGTGGATGGTATGTCCGTATGTTCTAAAAAACGAGTTTTTTTCCATAAAATTATCTGGATGGGATATTCTACAGGATGATCATTGGGATATGTTTCACATTGTCCAGCCAAATGTTGGATGTGGATGAATGAGATGGATGGGGATGGGGGTGATGGTTTGTACATGTTTGTACTGACCAATGTAGGCGTAGTGACGGTGTAGTGTAGACTATTGCATGAGGCTGCAAATTTGTGGGGTGCTTGCGCAGATCAGTTTGGGATAGTTTGGGTCACCCGGTCACCCGCCTGGAAACTTTTCTGCCAAATATCCTTGTAGAACATTGAGGCCTTGCAACTGACGCATCAGAATGGGATTGGTAAATTTAAAGCCACTCAAAATGCCAATCCCTTGGCGTTCAAAGCCAGCCGATCTGCCCAAATTCGCTTTCTGCCATCGACTCGCCAAGACAAAGGCACGGGTCAACAGTCCCTTTTCAAAATCCACAATTGTGTAGCTTTTCAGTTCCTCAGCGTCTTCCAAAATGCCAATCTCTGAAATCTTTGTCTCATAAATTGGCCATTTGGCAAAGGTTGGTGCGGATCCGGTGTATCTTCCCACGGAGGTTTCGGCCTTGACGGGTGACAGTTCCTCCGTGTTCGTGAGCAGTTTCTGTGGCGGCCACCGGGTGGACGTCAGGGAGAAGGCGCCCACGGAGTGCGCGGCCTCGACCCGCAGCTCCGGGTCCTCCGCGTCGAAGTCCGAGGCCAACTCCACCGGGCGACCTTCGGGCACCGCGGCACGACCTTCGGCACGACGGGGCGCAGGGCGATGGCGGCAACCAAGGGACAGGGCGAAACTGACCCAGAAACTGCCAGATCTGCCAGATCTCCCAGATCTGCGAAATCTGCTGGACCAGTTGGTTGCAACTGGAACAGCTGGGGCAGTGGCAGAAGTGACAACTGGAACAGCAAGTGCCATGGCTCAGAAACTCTTGGAGTAAGCTGCAAAGCAATTCAGCAATGTCAGAAGATCTTTAAAAACAGCAAGGTGTGTCTGAAAATGAGGGGCATAAAATGGCAATTTGAAAAAGACAATGACGATCAACCACTAAATTTACGATTTGGAAAACGGTTGTTTTTCCAACAGTTTCAGACAAGCAACAGCCAAGACATGCTGTGACCAATTTTGGAAAACGTCCATGCCTCGTTTAGGTGCTGCTCAATGGCATTCAAGATACAAAAGACCTGTCAACGTAAAGCGTCAGCAGCAAAACTCAGAATTTCCTGAGTTTCAATCCTCCGCTTTACGTTGCAAAACAAGAGAGTTTCCAGTGTTTCAACCCAGCCAAACACACATCTTACTGGCAAAATCCTCCCGGAAAATCTATGAACAGACCAGCAATTCAACCAGCCGCCTCATGCCACTGGCGCCATTTCCTCACCTGCATTTGGGGCCCAACTTTTGAGACCAATGATGTCGGACATGTTAAGCTCTCAAGTGACTGAAGGGTTGGAAATCCTTACGATTTTTTGCTGTGCACTCAGAAATAATTGATCAACATAATGACATTACGAATTGATGATGAATATCATATGAATGTCACTTCAGCAGTCATATATCAATATATATATATTATATCAATATATATATATTATAATATTATATATTATATAATATTACATCATATCATATGACCAATATCTCCGATTTTCGGTGCACCTCTCTTCTCGGCTGCCGCACGCCAGGATCCTGGGAACTTTTTGGGGTGGGTTGAAGATGGTTGAAGGGTGGGGTCGCCAATGGTCGCCATCAACCAATGGTTAGTCGGTAGTTCGTTGCTGTTAGTTGCTGTTAGTTGCTGTTAGTTACTGTTAGTTGCTGTTAGTTGGTGGTTCAGAGCAGTTGAGTGGTTGGATTTTGAGGAATCTTATTGAAGGATTCCGGAGAACAAACAACCAATATTCTCCACTTGAGGCACGGACAAATGCCGATCGCAAATTGGAAAACCTCATGGCTCCCAAAAAACAAACTAAAAAAAAAAGTACCCTCTGGTGATTTAACATATAGTTTGAAACATAGCTATGGAAAATGGCTCATTCATAGATGATTGGCCCATTAAAACATTGTCATTTTCCATGTTTTTTTAATGACCAGGACAAGCGAAGCTGTGCAACAGTTGGGGATCTGGCTTCAATGGTGCTGTTGACCACTTCCTGATGTCAACGGGTGGTCAAGTCGCTTGGTACCCCTAAAAAAACTGGATGATGCACACGAAAATGACACGAAAATGACACGAAAATGACTCCAGTTTGGAAGTTCAAAAGGGCTGGATTTGAATGATGTCTGAAAAAATGACAACCTCAAATTCAAAGCCTCCGCTGTTCCGTTTCGCACTGGGTTCGCAGCAAAAGGCGACTGACACTTGAACTTCTGCCTGAAAAATTCAAGCACAACATGGGAGCATTCTAATCTGCCATGCAGAGCCAACAGGAATGGAAAACACTATGGAAAACCCATGGCGAGCCACATGGAATGACTTATGAAGTTCCAAATCCATCCTGTTTTCCATGGCACCGTCGCTGCCTGTGTCGTTGATGTTGAAAATGTTCACCTTGTCCTCCTGTGACTCATCGCTGACCGTTGCTCTGGGCCTCCACCTGGGAAAAAAACATTGGACCTGGGAATCTGAATGAAATTCTTCTTCAAATCTACCAACTTCCAAATTCTCCAGTGAAAAATTGGACCTCTTCAACTGAGTTCAGAGCTCTCGGGGTGCCTTAAGCTGTGGAAGTTCTTCCAGTGATTCGTTGCACACTCATACAATACATAACACTTGACGACATACGCACATGTTACGCACATGGATGTATAGAGTAATACACCCCGTCTACAATAGTTTATCAATATATGTAATTATACACACCTACATATACATACACATACACATACACATATACATATATATATATATATACATATACATATACATATACATATACATATACATATACATATATATATATATATATACATATGTGTATGTATCTATGTCTATATATAATATGTACATATGAATTTTGCGAGGCCGGAGACTGGCCTGGACAGGTTTCGCCTTGCTCATCTCCACCAGGACCTTGGCGAAACCCAAAAATCCCAGGCGAAATTCATAGGTTTCATCTTGAAACTTTAATCTAAACTATACAATTTTATACATATATATATATATATGTCTATATATATATACATATATATATGTATTACATATATGTATTACATATATTCAAAAAATTCAATTATAGTACATCAGATAGACTCCAAAGAGACCTCGAAATTCCATGATGGGATCAACCCATCGGATTTTGGTGGAAACCAACAGCTTTTTTCCGCCTTGTGAGACTCGGCACTGAGAGACTTCAGGAAGGCCTGGGAATCTGGAGGCTGGAACTTTGGCTCATGTTTTTCGCCAAAAAAATGCACAACAAATCCGGAAATCACCATTTTTTGTAGCTAAACAATCTATTTCTATGGGCCATCTATACCATGGCTATGTTAGTCATAGCCAGAGGGTAACTCTTCATGTGATTTTCTGGCGGAATCATTAGGTTTTACACAGCCGATCTATGGAACCATGTGATGGACCCAGAGGGGGCAAATATTTGGCTTCGTCCAAAAGACAGGGCACTCAAAACCCCAAAAAAACCTATGGTTTAAACCCTAATGTTTTATATTTCATCAGAAAAAATCATCAAAAAGTATGATTCATCAATGATAAGCCATGGTTTTCCTGCGAAATATCAGGGGTTTTCCCTTGCTTTTCCCATGGCTTTTTCCCCCTTGGGAACCTCCTCCTCCTCCGTCCGCGTGTTGCTGGACACCGCATGTTGCGCGGAGGAGGAGGCTGAGGCTTCGGAGACCTGGCTATGTATATATATAATATAATATATATATATATCATTTATATATATATATATATCCATATATATATATACATATCCATATATATATATATGTATATATATATATGATTATATATGTATATGTATATGTATATATGTATATGTATATATGTGTGTGTGTGTGTGGTGAATGTGTATGTATATAAATTCAATGTGTGAGTATCTAGAGTGAGTACATGTGTATACATATTTTTTATGTTATATACATCTATAGTGCTAAAATATTAGGGATCACCCCAGCATCATGGGGTTCCAAAGATACTGGGTATATTAAGCCCAACCTTGATGAGGGATGACCATCCCATCTTTATGGGACATAAACCAATCATGCTACATGTCTGATCTGTTCTTGGGGTCAAACCTTGTGTTTCAATTCCAAAATGTATCAAGACCAGTTATTGACGACTTTCCCACCGATCCTCTATTTAGTTCCCGGATTTTCCATCCCCATGACATCCCCACCGCGCATTCCCATCACAGGTCGGCTTGACTGTTCCACTCTCTGTGGAATCCTGTCACGTCCCAGTTCAGAAAACACGTGGAGCAAATACTCCAGAATTCATGACGACGATAGCAGTGATCCAACCGTAAATTGGAGAAATGATCGAAAATGAATCGGAAAGTATAGTCATACAAATTATGGAAAATAAATCGGAAATGATGGGAAATGATCGTTTTCAAAAGCATCCATTTTCTAATATCTAAATTATATAGAGATATTTAATATAGATTATAATAGATATATCAACATATAGATATATATATATATTATAATATATATATATACATATATATAATAGTCTATATATTATGTAATATATATATAATATTAGACAATATCAACATATAGATAATATATAATAGATAGATTATATCAAAATCTCAGTCCCTCCAATCTTCAGCATCCAAGTCTCGCACCGACATGTAGCCTGAAGGACGAGGGGAAGGAATCGGTGACACCTCAGCAGGACCGTCCACGAGGGGAAGAAAAATGCCCAAAATCCCTGAGGATCTACGAGAAATTCCAATCATTTGAGGTGATTTCAGATATCCAATGCTCCAAAGAACTCCAATTCCAATAGTTCAACACTAAAAGATCAATGGATCATGTACATTTTGATGGATCATGATGGATCTTGATGGATCTTAATGGATCTTGATGGATCTTATACAACTTGTACAACTCCACTTTACCATGAACTCCGTGGCTTTTCGCATCTCGCGTCGTTTTTTTGGCACGCCTCTCGCGTTGCCAATGCAGCCGCTGGTGGAGGCTCAGGGACAGGAGCTTCTGGAGTGTCTGGCCTTGGAAATGGCTGAAATTTATGGCTGTTGTTGGGAAATCTATGGCTAATATTTATGGATCTTTATGGATCTCTATGGATTTTTATGTCCATGGTTGTATGATGTTATATGTTTATATGTGGATACCTCATATGGATATGACATGATTTAATGTTATTATGAAATTCTTATGAATGTATGATTGTAATGGGGAATGGGAATGTTTAATGATTTATTTCCATGGTTTATGTATAAGATTTTCATTTTTTTATGAATTTAACGGATGTTCAATGGGGAAATGGATGTGGATATACTGGGAAATATGCTGAAATAATAATGTAAGCCCATGTAAAGCCAATAAATAATGAAACTTCAATTAGGGATGGTTTATTTATTGGCGTTACCTCATTAGCCATGCAATAGACTGCTTGATGGAGATCTTCAGTTTTTCAGGCCGCCACTGGCCGGTCGAGAGCTCCAGTAGCAACGATCCTTTGACATGGCCTCTGCTGGCCGTGGGCACCGGCAGATGTGACATGCGAAATGAATCGCCGCACCGATCTCCAAGCATTTTTGAAGTCATCTATAAGACTTCTAAACCTCTAACCATTCCATACTATTCCATACTATTCCATACTATTCCAACTATTTCAGAAAATCACCACTTTTCTGAGGATTTGAGGTTGTGACAACTTGTTCAACCCAAAAAGAGGTCACCTTTTTGCGGAGCGCGGGGGGCGCCTTCGCCTTTTTGCGGAAGCAGGTGGACCCATTGTGCTCCATCGAATTCTCCTGTTGGGGCCACGACCTGTTTCTTGCAGTGTCTCATAGCGTCTCCCATATCAATTGACCAAGTGCTTCAGGTTGGCTTCAAGTGCTTCAAAATTTCTTCAAAACTCCAAATTTCTATCCCTATCCAGTTATAATCATCAAATATCCATCCAAATATCCAAATTTTGATAAATTTTGATATACCTTCAGGCAGTGTTTAAAATTTCACAACACAACCGTGGGGATACGACAGCCGACAGCCGCATCCTTGGCCACAAGCGAGATGGCGTCCCACTGGGATCTTCAGGGCACCGATCATCTGGCGTTCGGATCTCCAGAATTTGGGCGTTCGGATATGATGGATACATGGAGAAATCATTAGTGATTGGTTCATCTTGAAACATCTATATATATATATACGTATATTATATATATATATATCATGTAGAAATTCGTGTTTCGTAAATCTTGAAACACGCCTTTGACACTTTGTTGTCGCTTGTTGTTTTCAATGATGTTGAATGATGTGCAACAGAAATTCGCCCCGGAAACCAGGATGAATCAGCTGAGCCTCGCCATTTTGGCGCTCAGCGCTCTCTCCCAAGAATCCAGTGCCTCGACACATGGATAGCCTTTGAACTGCCAACTTCATCATGAAACCATCATGAAAATCATGAAACTCCCGAAGAAAAATGGAAGAAAAACAAAAAGACGTCAATGCCTGACATCCATTCTTATGTCAAACCCACATCCAATCAATCCAATCAATCCAATCCATGTTCAATCATCATTGACATCATTGACATCCAAAAAAGTGGAGATCCTTCACCACTTGGCCTCGCAGCCTTCGCAGCCCGGGTATTTTCTCAGCTCCCAGCTGAGCGGAAACGTTGGAACGGGGAGCTGTTCCGCGATGCGCAGGGCCGAGAGTCCTGCTGATTAATGACCCCCAAATTGGATAATGAGGGATCACTAATGAGTTGGTTGATGATCCAGTAATTTTGATGAAAACTAGGATCTATTGAATAGGATTGAATAGGATTGAATAGGATAAGTGGGTTGATTAATGTGTAATCCGATATCCAGCAAAATCTATCCAACAAATTCAAGGCCGGGATGCGCTTCAGGATTTCTTGATTCAGCCCACAAATCTCTCCTGTCATTTTTTTCCCATCAAATCATCATCAGGTCCCGTAGGTCCCATCGGTCAGAAGTCCAAATCCAAAGGTTCATGGAGTTGATAGACATCAAACCGAACATCGGTTTACACTCAGCAACCCACCGACTCAACCCCCAAAGAAAATTAAAGTTGTTGGTGCCATCAATGGTGCCATCAGCAACGGAACGCCTGATTGTCTGAGAGCTGACAATCCCCTCATGGCTGTTGAAGGTGCGACACCAGCGATACCACCGCCTCCTGACGAGGTGTTGACTCTGGTTGACACCTGACACCGCCAACACATGTGCCATAGATAAAACATGGATTGATGACCATATATGACCATCAATCTGGGAACATAACCCATGTTTAGACCACCGCACACATGTTTCTACAAGTCACAAAAGCATGGTGTGAAATATGTGACATACGAATGTAAGCCGGAATAGTAGTCATATACACCAATGTTAACCTTGATACTTTCAGTCAAGAGAGTCAGACTACCCATGTGAAAATATGGTGCCCCAAAAATCCAGTGGTTCATCATATATTCCCTGCATTCACCATATCAGACTGACAAAAAATTGGAACTGATCCACCATTTATTGGCAAGCAAGTTCAGTTTGTCCAAACATGTAAGATTTACCCAAAAACAAGACATCTAATTTAATAAACATGATGTCTATAAGCACTGGATTTGGGGTTCCTGAGGTTCCTCATATTTCGAAGACAAATCCACTTTCCAACCAGCCCGGTCAATGTTTGAACTCCTGCCACCGGCTTCTGCCGTTCAGGGCTTCCACTGTTGGTATGGCCCTGTCGAGCCGCAAAGCCCATGGTATTTTCAGTAGACTACCACCCATTTCCAGTGCCAAAAACCACTGGGGAAACTCAAAAAAACACACACCGACTCAGCATCATTGAATTGGCTAAATCCATGGCTAAAAAAACATGCTAATCATGAATTTCCGGTTGTAGATTCCCGTAGACTCAGAATCAGAAATCCAAGTTGAATCTGGATCCATTGGATCTGCGCCTTTTGCATCAGCGCGATATGAAGATGAGCAGAGTCCACAAAGGTTGCCTTCGGTTTGTCGCCGGCAGGACAAAGGCCATCAGATACCCAAACTTAGCATTGCAATAAGTTTTTTTTCAAGCCAATCACAACAATAAGTGGAAAAACACACAACAATGATCATGAGTTCTTATTTAAAACACATAATATATACTCCTTGAAAATGAAATATGTGTGTGTGTGGTGACCCTCACAGTGGTGATGATAATGATCTGCTTCTTCATCACCATCATCATCATCATCATCACGATCATCCACACCATCAGCAGATGATTTTCATACAATCCACTTCGATTCTGTATCGAATCAGCTACTGATGCTGATGATGTCGAGCCTCAAAGCATCGCTCCATGGGCACTGCAAAGACAGCCTCGCGCGCTTTCCATTGTGGCGCCTGCGAGACGGGAAAACGATCAAAAGGACCCAACGTCCAACGTTTCAATCTACGAAATGAACTATAAGAAGTATAGTAATATCAAGTGATATCTAGGAATATCAAGTGATATCATGTGATATCTAGGAATATCTAGTAGTTGTAGTTATTGAAGAACTCATTAGAACCCAACCATAGACGGTTTCCGCTGACATGGCAGTTGGAAATCTCAGTCGGGATAGGGCTAAGTTCAACAAGACTTTTGAGTCCGTTCCGGCGTTCCGTGGCCTCAAAGCCTAAGTCCCTGTAGCCACATGTAGCCACATGTAGCCACAAGATCAACAAAAGCAGTGGATTTTCATGGATTTTCCAAATTCTCCCAATTTCCCAAGCATTCCCCCTTTTCCCACCTCGTCTGCTGGGACCTGCTGCCAGGGGGTGACCTTGGCACCAAAGGCTTCGCCTTGGAGGTCGTCTGCAGCCTGGGGATTTTCCGGACTTTTGGGCGAAAAACAAGGGGAAAATGGATGGAAAATGGATGGAAATGTGGTCCATAAAAATGGCAACAAACTGATGGGGATTCTAGAGTTGCGACCAAAACCATGGAAATTCAGAATGTTTGAAGACATACTTGGGAGTTCGATGTGGTTCGGGGGTCGATAGTCCAAAAAACATTGGATTTGACCAGATTCTTGGAACCTAAATCAAAGAAATGAGACCACCAACCATGTGGGTACCAGTAAGCAACCAAGCAAAATCAATAAAGGCACCAAAACAGCAAGTGGCATGTGCGAATGCGATTGATAAATGTAATAGAAGTATGGAATATGTGATGGGTTTTGCCCAAAAATTGAGGATTTCCATCGATTTGCCATGATGTACCCAAACTTTACCATTATTCAAAGGACTATATGATTATATGATTATCATAAATTATACATGTGTTTGATTCTGGGATGAAATGCAGATCAAACATCACCAGCTATCTCGGCCCGGGACGCCCGGCACAGAGAGTGATCACCAGACGGATCTCTCCACCCGACATCAATCGGAGGCCTTGGGCATCTGCCACACGTACCTCTCTGCTTCACCGGGGTGACTCAATGTTGTGATGAATATAGTGCGTTCTAATGTGTTCTAATTCACTACAATTCTCTATATATTTCCATGATGTGTTCATAATTGATTATGGTCTGAATCTATAATTATGTTCCAATATGTTCCAATATGTTCCAATATGTTCCAATATATAACGGTGTCAATAGATTTCATAAACAATATAACGTTCATTAACGTTCTATTTTCCAATAGGATCATACGAGTACCATATCAATTACCGTGACCCATAAACCGCTCAGGCCTTGAGATCTCGCGTGTCGCACCCTGACCTGAACTTGGAACATGCTGAGGTTATCATTGATCATGTTTTATAATGCTTTATTACAATACTGGCATTTTTTGTTTACTGACTATAATACTTATATATAATATATAATACTTATTATAATCTATTATATTATCAATATTATATCATAATCTATTATATATATATTATATTATATAATTTTATATCAGGAGCTGCCAATGAATGCCACACTTTGACTTTTAGAGATTTCCTCAACTGTCTGAGATTTCACCGCGATGCTGTCTGAGTCCCGGACATCCCCCGACATGGGGCCCCGCCACGGTTTTTTGATCGTCACCCGGGAACGCACAAGATTTGATGACCTGCATTTTTTGGGTTGGAAATAGATTTATGAAATTTATGAAATTTATGAAATTTATGAAATTTATGAAATTTTATGATGATTCAGAAATCTCAAGCTACAACTCTTGGATCATTGCGATGCATTGTGAATATTGTGAATATGATTCTTCAAACTTGTGCCACTTGAGTGGTTCATCAACATTTTCACTGGAATCCCAGTGGATATTGTTATTGCCAATTGATGCCACCATGGTACCGTTGAAGCTTCTGAGGCTTAATACCTCTATATTTAATGTCTTTGATATCTGTTGTTCCATGGTGGACATTCCTCCTAATCTTTTGCTGCAACATGTACTGTATCCTGACGCTTGAGCCATCGAACAAAACCCTTAAGGATCCGTGTTATCGCAACCAAAAAAAAAATACCCATAGGATCCATGGTGCTGCTATATATGGTAACATTTACCATCAATATACCCCCAACGTTAGCATATATACCATACATGGATCCGTCATGGGATATGGCATGCATTTTTCACCGCCCCATCTTCACCCGTATTTCGGTCGCAGCTCATGGAAACGCCATTTTTCAAAACTGTGAATTTTTCGGAGCTTCAGCCACATCATCTCTGAAACATCGCCTCAGTAACTTTCCAAAGCCATGAAAATGGCTACATGTGGCTACTCTATAGTTGACAAATGTGGACAATCTCTTTCCAGTATGAAAAGAATGAAAAGAACTTTTTATGAATGAGATGCAGAATTGCAGAATTTGACCATAGTCAACCATCACAACAAAAACAGCTCCAAACATCTCCAAGTTTTGTGCACAAGACTGGCTGCATTGAAGATCATCAAACCCCCAAAAAATCCACCCATTTCCCAGTCATCTGATCTGAGCTTTGCGCCAGATTGTAAGGTGGCATGCAGGTCCTCAGGGGTCTGAACAGCATCATGACTCTGCCAATTGGAACTAGCCAAATGGTGAAAAACCATGGCAAAACCATGGTGTTTCACCATGGCAAAACATGCTGAAATCATGTTGAAACATGGTGTTTCACCATGGTGAAACCATGAATTCCCCCCAGCTGAATTCGCAATCCGAGCCACGGGTCAGTTCCAACACGTGCTGTGAGGACTTCCACACCTGTCCTTCAGCCCAGCTGCAAGCGCAAGCTATGTGAATGTGTCAATGGGACCCATGTGTCAATGGGACCCCAGAAAACTCCACTTTTCTGGCAGTTCTAAGATAGTCCTATGGCAATTTGATGGCAGTAACGGGGAAAATGATGGCCATTGGATTGGGAAATATATGGAAATATTGGGAATATATAAAGATTAACCAGTGGATTCAGGATACAAACCCATCGTCTATGCTGACGATGGGCCAGTCTAAGTGCGAATCACTTACAAACAGCCTAAGAAAATATAGAAAATGACCCAACATCGCCCACATGCTATGCATGGGTGCTGTGGTAACGCTTGTAGGAATGGCTGCAACTCACCAAAGAAGTCACTGGCGATGCCAGGAAATCATCCGGAGTTGTTTTATATTCACAATACCATAGACAAGCTGCAATTTGGCTGAAACCTGAGATGTTTGAAAAACCCCTCAAAAATGGTGAAAGTCATATTCAAACAATCTTCGTAACAATGGTGAACAGTGGTTAACCAACAAAAATCCATATCGTTTCCCTATAGTATCATCCAAAAATATGTAAATATATGGTGTTTTTTTTTCGCTTGCCCATCTTCCGCAGCCTTCAGTGGTTTACCATCCATCTTCCGGGCAAATCCACAGGGGTTGGTAACTGTCCCATTTTGGGAATATTGGACATCACCTGAAAAAGTAGCCATGGCATTGACCATATACCTAATGGTTGGGTGATGTTCAATGAGGACATTTAATGACCCATGATCCAGGCATCCGAACTCGGTCACCAAGAAGGTGTGCTCAAACTGCGCCGACCTCTTTCCGTCCCGCGTCACGGCCGTCCAGTTGTCAGGCCAAGTCCTGGCACCGGAAAACAACGAGAAATTGGAATCCAAGATAGGAAAACCATATATACTGTATATATATATATATATGTTATGATACTAATACTATTTACAAATATACGAATTGCAATACTCTATTCCAATATATTTTAATATTTTTAATATATAACTATTATCTTACAATCACAATAATCACAATAATCACAATAATCATGTCTGGGCATTTCTGCATTTCTCCGCTTTCCACCAAGCTCGATCCTATCTCCACCGTTTCCACCCAGGTTGATCATGGGTTCCACAGTGAAAACCTCACGACGACGACGTCGACACGTGCGACACGTGACCCTGGGGATGATGCACTGAGCTGCACTGAGCTGCGCACGTGGCCAGGCTTCATGATACCAACAGCCTTGTTCTTCCTGGAACGTTTTTTTTACAAAGCCATGCTGTTAGAACAAAAGACCTACAACTAGTGATGGTTAAATATGGTGAATGGACATAAATCATCATAAATCATCATAAATCAACATAAATCAACATAAATCAACTATAGTGATGATGGTTTTGGATATGATGGATATGATGGATATGATGATATGATATGGATATGAATGGCTCAAATTGCCTGAAAAAACACGGGAGTTTTCGTAGGATGCCATGGGATGCCATGGGATGCCATGGGATGCCATGGGATGCCATGCCTGTAGTGGGGCACCTTAGGTGGGCCGTGGAACAGCTGTCCCACCCCATGCCCGCAGTACCTGGGCAACGGTGGACCGCGCACAGCGGAAACGCGGAAACGCGGAAACGGTTCCGGTTCGGCAGCTGCGGCAGCGCCAGGGGCACGTGGTCACTACAGCACAATTATTTTTCCCGGCCTGGCCATGGTTGTAAATTCGTGGAAACTCAGTCCAGCCATTCTGATCATTCTGCAGATTTTGGTCGTGGTTCACTGGCGTCTTCCATGAATTTTCAGTGTGATGGACAGCAAACTTGGTGCCTCCGCATTGATGGCATTGCCTGGCGATTTCGTGGAACAATGACAACTCCACAGCTCCCAAATGTTCCCAAACTATCCAGCTTTCGTCTGATTCGGTTGTAAGTTGTCTGATGCTTTCTCATTCTTTCTCTAAATTCGAAGGCAAACTCAGAACCTTTGAACTTTGATCAACGCTGCGCAGCGGACGCTTCGATCGCCGCGCCTAGGTCCCTGTAGAAGGTTCCAGGGCGGATCAGTCGGGAGGCCGCGAACAAGGAGCTGTAAGCCGTCCTGCACTCCAAAAATTCCGATCCGCACAACAAAAATCATGTGAAACCATTGGAATCCATTGGAATTCCATGGGACCATTGGATGAGGGTTGTAATTACCCATTGTTTTATCAGTTTTCATCGTGTTTTTGTTGACCATTTATTGGATTCTGAAGTGTGTTTGTAATGCCCTTGAAGTTCAAGTGCTGTGCATTATAAATGGGGTATGTATTGGGTATCCTATGGTATCCTTAATCTGCCCTGACCGCACCCCACCTGACCAATCGCTGTGAATCTTCATCGCAGTCACCGATGAAGAAGGTCTCGTTGAGATCTGAGTGGAAACCTCAACGAAAACTGGGTGTTTTGCATCTGGGTGATTCACAATAGTTTAAAATGGTTGGAGGATTGGAAAAGGCATGGTGAAAAAATGTGAAAGAAACACATTCAGAATTTGGAATGCTTCCCGAAACACTTTCGACAATTTTCCAAAGCAGTTGCTTTCAAGTCACCACAGGCCGCATCCAAACCAAAGTCGAGGAGATGTGTGTTGTATTTTGCTGCTCTCTTCTTGCAGAAGTTTGTGACCATTGTGACATTTCGGCCAGCAGCCAGGGATATGTTTAACAAAATAAAGCCCTGCTGGAACCGAAACTTTGTCTGAAGAGTCAGCATTAGAAACACATTCAAACATCAGGTCATGCTGTCAACACATGTCAACACATGATAACGCATGTCATATCCTCACCTTGATAGAAGATGCTCACATCCAGGTTCACAATATCTCCCTCCTCAATCGGTCTACAGTCAGGGATGCCATGACAGATCACCTGCGCGTTTCAGCGGCGCCAAAGCGGCACTGCCGGGCCAGGGGAAACCGTGGCGCCGTGGCGAAATCACAGGCACCTCGTTGGCCGAGACGCACACCGTCTTGGGGAAGCGGAAATAGTTCCTCGCAAAAACGAGACGGCCCCGAAAAAAACATGGGCCCCATGGCGATACAAACAAGCGAAAGCCAACACAACGACACCTATAAGGGAGGAATATATTATGCCAACTGATGCCAACTGATGCCAACTATCTGTACATGGGCATCTATATCTTGGTTGTTCTTGGTTGTTTCTCAAAATAAAATGTACTTAAGTGGGTGATTTTTTCATTTTTTTGAACCGATTTGGTGACATTATCAGACCTACCTGTAGTGATATCTCATACACCCCATCAACGGAAATGGATTCGTCCGGAAATAGTGTACCCCCGTAATTGCCCATAAATGAAGCTTTGAACCACTGGTGTTTTCCAAATTCTACATACCCAAATGAGTAAGGGTCAAAACCCTATCATACTCTGGTGAACACCAAAATAGCTGGCAAAGGGATGTTCATCCTTGAAAAAATATGATCAGATGGGTATCCACATGTATCCACATATGGTCCCTTCGCCAAATATATCCAATGAGAGCCAAGGTGCAAGGGGCTCGGATAGATCTTGCGATCCACGCATGCCTTCAAGGATACCACTGCGACACGGAAACTCCAAGAGTTGTCTTTCGATGGGGAACAATCTCAATGGGATAAATCACAATCAGATCAGGTAATATGTGATGGCATTTTCTGCGATATGTAATATATATATATATGGATATATGACAATCTCAACTTGCCAATTTGGGGATAGTTTTCGGAGAGTTAGCCCCTTTATATCCCCTTATTAACCAGTTATTAACCAGTTATGGATGTTATGGGATAGGTATCCCTTACTAACCATCTACTAACCATATCTAACCATCATTCTATGCCCCTGGATCCCTGGATCCCTGGCCTGGTACACCACCCGGTCGATCTCATCTCCAGTGACTCCCGGTCGCATGAAGCGGGCAGCGATATCCAGGACCTGTCGCTGCTCAATCATTGATTTATTGACCATCAATTTTGGGAAATTGGAGGTTTCCTTGGGATTAGAATATATAATATATGTATAGTATCTAACTATATGTATGATTATGTATGGATATTATAAATGATATCTATATAATGTATTATAATATATTATAATGTCTGATTACCGGAAGGTACATCCAATCCAATTTTGTTCAGCCAATGAAATGGCAAACGAAGCACATCCCAGCCGTCCCGGTTGAATGGCGGCCTCCCTTCCCAGTTTGCAAGCCATTCGCATCGTCTCCAACTCCTGTCCCTGAAGGATTGGGACCTGTCACCATGGGTCACCATGGGTCACGGTGGTTGATGGTGGGACTTTGGATTTGGGATTTCGGATGAGGCTTTTGGATGATTTATGATGATTTCAAGGGATTCTACAAATGTTGGGCTCAACGATGGGAGTTGTTCGATGCGTCTCGTTTGAAGATTTTGAAGATTTTGAAGCACGTGACACGCCTCTTTCACCCCAATCCTTTCGCAAGCACTAGATCCCTGCAGCATGCCGTAGAATGTGGGCAAAACAGACTCAATGTCCAATGGCTCCGGATAGGTAAACTCCAAAGGATACATCTGAGATCATCTGAGCTTCACAACCGAAACTTAGGGACACAGCGTGGGAAAGTCATCAAAATGAAACCATTGAGGCATCCACATCTGGTTGTAGGGCATAGTCAGGCAAGAGAATGCCCTGCAGCGAACACTTCTCTGGGAGGCAGCAAGCGGTTACCACCACTCATCTGAGCGTTCATTCTTCACAAGTGACCATGATTTATTCATGTTTTTTCGAGTGAAATGATGCTCGAAAATGGAGAACCATCCATTTTTCCAGTTAGAAATGGATAAATTGGTCATTCTTCTTAGCTATCGGCAGGCATTTCAGACATGATGAACCCATCCTCGGGCATCCGCATCTGCTTGGTAACAAAGGCAGGTCGCAAGGAGCCACTGAACTGATAGCCCCAGAATTCCTGTTCCAAAACGGGGAAGCGGATGGATTTTGGGGGTGTAAAAATCAGGAATTTTACCAATGTTGGGCTGGTTTATATGGAGGATGTTCATGGACTTAGGGTTGCTGTTGGGAAAGTTGATGGAAAAATACTATCACATAACTGATGCCACACCATGAAGCTTTGGCATTGGATGGCATTGGCCATCTAGAGACATGACAATTCCAGACAAAGCTGCGCCGAAAAAAAAAAAAACATCTCTCAGGTTTCCACCCTAACTCCACCTAAAACGTCGCTGAACTCCAGCTGAACTCCATCCCGTCCCAACTCTCCCATGAATCATCTCAATCATCTCCCATCCCGACCCCCAATCTTTGGGCCTTTGGAGGCCGCTTCAGTTCCTGTTCTGACATACTCTGCGAGTTGTTGGCCATTGCCTCCAACATGCTGATATGCTATTGACGATCAACATGCTCTGGCGCTGAAGCTCGAAGAAACATGAATCTTTCAACACAAGAGAGGCAGCGACTCAGCACTCAACATAAATGAAACATAAGAATCCTAATAAAACAATGAACCTTTGGCCAATGCCTCCAGCGACTTCTGGCACCAGGCAGCAAAGTCCTCACCGCGACGGTGAGCCTATGTGATCTATGTGAAAAGCTTCGCCGCTTCGCCATGCTTTGGCGTGTCCTCATCGGACACACCGTGAGTTGCAATGCCATCCAGTCCACTGGTACCTGCCCACTGGGATGGCAGATCGCTCAGATAGGTCAAAAAAAAAATCATCCTATTGTTGAGGTCAAGATGGGTCAAGATGGGTCAAGATGGGTCAAGATGGGTCAAGAGTTTTCAGCTGTATGTGATCCAAAGTCCTGTGACACTGTGACCCGCTTCAGCAGTTCCACTCTTTCCACCCTTTTGCCCGTTCCGGCAGACGTTTGGTTGTGTTTCTCTGCAATGCACTGAGCTCTAGACCAGTTTTTTTCTTCCCTCCTCCTCTTCGTTTTTTCTTCTTCTTCACAGCACCTTCCTGTGCACAGAAAAACTCGCAAGACCCAAAGCGTTTGAAGGAAAGCTGCCCCGCTGCCCCTGTACTAGTACAATTTATAGCTATACTAATTTTTAACACCTAGTGTATCCAAGTGTATACTACATATATCACATATGTATAAACGTGTGTGTATATATAATTATATATACATTTATCATATTAGGATTGCGCAACAGTCATGTATTGCTGGTTAATGTTTGACCTGCTCCTCTTCTCCATCCTCCTCTTCTCCATCTTCCTGCAGTGACGGTTGCAGTGGTTTTTGGAACGGAAGACCGGCCGCCGGCCGTTGAACTGCCCAAGAAATACGACAGTTGGGATCGTCAGTTGTTCGGAATCATCCAAATATGGTTGAAATCAATGATCCAATCATTCTATATCAAATCAGAATCATATCATATCATATCATATCTATAGATATTATATATATATGACTTATATAACTATATTGTATCATTAGATGTGAGGTGTAAAGCATAGATGTTAAACACACTCGTTCACACCAGGTTCACGCTCGCATATCCTTTTCTACTATTTCCTGTCGCTTCGTATGGTCTCAACCTGCCTCCAGCAGGATTAATGCTTTGGGTAGCTGTGTAGGTGTTCTCCTACACAGCAGCACTGGTTAGATCCATACTCCCTGTTCCGCACTCCTGTCAACCCAGGAGGCTACACAGGGTGAATCCTTCCCACCTAGTGCTCAATCGTGCAACGGCACGTAGAGATCAACATTCGCAATGATGTGATCCCCTACAAGAGAGGATACTCCACAGGAGTCCTATCTCATAGGGAGGGAAGGGAGGGAAAAGAAGAATGATGAAGCCAGTTTGGCTCAGACTTGAGCCAAAATGGATTCATCAACTTACACACTCACCCTAATGATAATGCACACCCAGTGCCTGCCAAACACGATGCATACATACATTAGATGTGAGGTGTAAAGCATAGATGTTAAACACACTCGTTCACACCAGGTTCACGCTCGCATATCCTTTTCTCCTATTTCCTGTCGCTTCGTATGGTCTCAACCTGCCTCCAGCAGGATTAATGCTTTGGGTAGCTGTGTAGGTATCCTCCTACACAGCAGCACTGGTTAGATCCATACTCCCTGTTCCGCACTCCTGTCAACCCAGGAGGCTACACAGGGTGAATCCTTCCCAATGCACTTCATTCCTCCCAAAGCACTTAGAGAAATTCCACGACCTGAAGAAACGCAGGAAGTGGTAGAGACCACAGCTCGAAGGGGAAAACTGCGAAATGCGTGGTGAACCCATGGCGCTTGTGCCATGTAGCCTGGAGGCCCACACGACTGATCTCGTCGGACCAGTTGGCCTTGCTAGGGATCCACTCCCAAAAGAACCAGGCTTGGAGTGCAAAAAGAGTGATATGAATCAGACGAGTCATATGTTCTAAATCTGCATTATCTGAACGTCCTCGAATCAGAGCCATCAGTGCCGCTGTATTGTCAATGAACCAAAGTCCTCTACGGCCACGAAACGTCGATGGACGGGTGAAGAGCGCATAGAGGACCTGCAGCAACTCCAGTTGGGCAATCTTGGTGTCTCCTGGCTCCCAGAGGTTGTACACCACTGGGGGGATGATCGAAACAAAGGCTTCCCGCCGCTGGATGCAGCCATCATGCCAGACGACCAAGAAGCCGCCTGTCCCTTGGCCTGGGATTTCCAAGGCTGCGTCTGAGGCCGCCAGGAAACGTGGCCCTGCATGTGGCCAAATCTCGATCGTCCTGGAGGGTTTGGTAGCAATGACAGCGCGCAACAAGTCAAAGCATCGACGCAGCTCCTCAGTTAACTCTGAGGTACGCTCCTGTTGTCGGCGCTTGATTGGGGCTAAACCTCCGGCACCCAATACGCCCCCATACTCCCAATTCGAAGAAGTTGGCCACGCCATAGATCTTGGCTGCAACTCCTTGTTGAAGCCGGCTGGAATCCTCAGCGTGCTTCATGAGATGAAGGAGCTTCTGTTCGATGCGTTCACGGGCCCAAAACTGGATGGTGCCTTGGGTGTGAATCTGACTGAAGTCATGATCGAGCCCCAAGAAAGTGCCTGATTGCTGCATCCTCTGGCACTTCTCTGCTGAGAAGGGTGTGCCCAAAAGATTGTTGAGAAACTGCATTGCTCGTTGACCAGATCCTTTGCAAGACTTCCTATCAGTCACATGAGCATCATCGAAATACAAGCTGGTCAAACAGAAAGTGAATCGACGCGCCAATGCTTCCACCAGCCTACTGTAGCGATTGAAAGACGTGACTGCCAAGGGGAGACCAAAAAGCAAACCAGTGTAAATCATAAAGGCAGGCTTCTGCCATTCATGGTGGAAAAATGCCACAATGCAACATAAAGCCTCATCCTTGCTCATGGGGCAAAATCTGTAAGCATCTGGCCAGTCCTCACCGCCCGATTCCCATTCTTCTGTGTCCCAGATGGGAAGGGCTCCATATGCGCAGGCATATTGTAGATGCTGAGCTGGCCGGAGGGCTGAACAAAGGGTGAGCTTGTTGGCGTCGCTAGAACGCTCAGACTGTAGGCCTACATAGGCGTCGTCAATCACCGGTTGCTTCCCCGAGGATTGTGTGATCACACATCGAGGAATCAAACGATAAGGCTCTGCACCCAGCAAACTGTGCAGTTCCTCTGCATCCATCGGCAAGCTGCAGAAGCCTTTCTCAGCATCCTTGAGGCTCTGTTGTAACATGAATTCATCATCGTTGCCAGGCCTCAAACGAGTCAGGATCCACCGGTTGTGGGTCCTCCAATCACGAAGGACATCCTCCCGTGTCAAGCGGGATGCCTCCTGCTCTGGGAATATGCCATAGGGAGGTGCGTATCCCACTGCTGGGAGCCCCATGCAAAGGCCAGCCGGCAGCGTCACATCGCCCCAGTTGGCTAAAAGCAACAGGATGGCTGTGAAACCAATGTCTCTTTGTGCAGTGGCCGTCCGAATTGCCTCAGTCTGTTTGGTCCTCAAATGTTCCGTGACCTTGCTCCAGCGCCTCTTCATCTCGGCTAAAAGGCCCATAGCACGTTTTCTCAGCTTGCTCAGGTCGACTCCTGGCATGCTTGAGAAGGAAGCCGCAAAGCGAAGGTCATCATCCAACACCGGAAGCCCTTCTGTAGGCAAAGGTTGTACACTCAGTTGCAAAGCTTGCTCAAAATGCTGGTCCGGGTGAAGATGGAACGGCAAGAGGGGTGCCAGCGCAGCCCTGTGGTTGATGGCCCACACCTGCTGGCCCTCAGCTGTCCGCATCTTCTGCCGCACGGAAGGAGCTGCCAAAACTGGGTTCCAGCTGCCTTCCATGTCAAGCCCCTGTTGGTGCCTCCAACGAGTATACAGGTCAAGCGGGTGCTGGTTCACCAAATCCTCGACGAATGGGATGGCAAGCCCTTCCAACCAGTCACCTGGGTAGAGCTTCTTGAACGCCAGCGCCAGTGACTCCTGCAGGATGTAGAAAGGCCCAAACGGGGTGCCCGTCGCTTTGGCAATGCTCGACAGAAGGACACTGCGTGTCACTGCCGTGTGGCTCCTGCCATTCGATCCTTGGACAACTTGGGGAGCTACTGGATGGCGATGTAAGCTGAGCCGGTCAAACACAAGCCCTGCCAAGAGGTCAGCCTCGCAGGTCTGTGCTGCTGGGCAATCACACACCAAAACCTTGCCTTCCAGCTCGTCCAGCTCCTGCCATAACGTCTCTCTGACATACTGAACAAAGAGGGGAAGCCAATCTTGTGGTGTGCAATTCACCCCAACTTGCCAAGGAGATTTCCACTTCGTTGTCTGGAGCCGGTGAGCGTGGTTTCCCATACCCACATAGACGTGCCCCAGGGGCAACTCGCCCTGCTGCAGCACCTCCTCGACACAAGCCGGGTTGGCACACGAGCCGCTTCCGCCGTGTCCACCGGCCTCAACCCCAGACTGATTGCCAAAGGAGTCATAGCCCATTCTCGGAGAGACCTGGGGTCCAAGTCAAGCCAATGATCCCTGTGACCGGTACAGCTAGGGGATGGCGAACGCGGCACATACAATTTGGCATGACCAACACGCACCGCCCACCATGAAGCCGCTGTGGCGATCGCAAAGCAAAGTTCTGCTGTGTACTCGGACTCCTCAGCGGATGGGTAATGCCGTTGGCCGTCTTGGATCCATGGCTCCCATTCCTGTGGGTCATGAAAGTGGTTGCAGTCAGCTCTGGGCCATTGTGCGATTTCTGCAATGTTGTGCCTAAGGCGTTGCAACTTCGCCCTGGCACCTCCAAAGCAACATGCTGAGTACCGCTGGTCTGACCACCGACCACTATCCCACATGCTAACTTCATCCGGCGTCCACCAATGAAGGCTGTTGTATGGGTTCTCCCGGACAGAGCCACCCCCCCGATCTACCAACTGGTCAATCTCAGAGAGCACAAAGCTGGCCGCTGCGTTGTCCTTCTCCACCCTGCTGTACTGAGACCCTGTCAACTCAGGAAGCCCCAGCGGGTGTTGTTCCGATCGCAATGGTCGGGGTGGTGGCCTACCATCTCCAAAATCTCGGGGGATCTCTCTGGCCCGGCTCTTTGTCGAACAATCCAGGGCGGCTGCAATGAAACAAACCGATTGTAACTGATCATGCAGTGATTGCTGCCTCAGGCTGTTGGATAGGTCGTGACCCCGGTCAAGCATCCAGTCCACTGAGATAGTCTCCCAACCACAGAAGATGAACGCTTTTGACAGGGGTACGTTGGGCCCCGCATAAAGATCTGCCATCCGCGGCAGCTGACAGTCAACTCTGTCTACGGGTGTTGCCTCTTCCTGCCCGGCAGAAGTCCCCGCCTCCTCTGCTGGGCACCGTCATGGCGATACCTTGGCCCTGCACTGGCCAGCACCATGCCCCGGCATACCACAGACTCGCTCCCCCCGGACAACCGCACCACACTTGTGCTGTCCTTGAGGACAGGAGCCTTTGGGATTCTTGCACTGCCCATGTTGGAAAGCCTGGCAGATCTTCGTGCCATCCCTCATGGTCTTGGCGACCTTCTTCCCGTTCACTGCCTTCCCCAGAGTGAACTGAGAGGGCATCGGGGTCGTGGATGAGGGCGTTGGAGTTGTCTTGCTCGCTTCTGCCCTGGTTCCTCCAGAGACAGCCTGCGGCATCCAATGGGCATCACGCGCCTGGCATGTTTCCTTGATAACCTCCCCCAAGGACTTGGAGGACTCCCTGAATCGCGCCACCCAGTCTGAGCGGTC